GAATTAAAGATTTGAGTTTTAATCCAAAGAAAGAAAATTAGTTATGAATATGTTACTTTTCTGAGTCTGATAAACTCAGAACCAAATAGTCAACGGTTTTGGATGGCTCTCAGATTTGTTTTTCTGTTTCTGATACCTATAGGTATGTGCTATGGCATAATAATGTTTATTGTCAACAGGATGTCACTTTTTCAGAATGATTTACATTCAAATTTTGAGCATCTTAAAATATTTAACACTTTAGATTTACAATGTTAAATCCAAGCAAAATATATTAGTATATTTTTAAAATTTCTTTTAAAAAGAAAAGAATGTAAGGAATACATTGTCATCAATATTCACAGATTTTTCACTTTAAAGTTAATTACTTACATGGGAATTATCTCCCATTACTTGGCATAGCCACGTCCATGTGTTAACTGATATAGAAATGGGCATGTATGTATGAGTCAGCACACACTTTCTAATTTAATTTGACTTCTACTCTTGTTCAGGTAATTCTCTCTATGCTCCTAACTCATGTGTTTAATTAAGGACATGGTGAATTAAAATTTTAATAGTTTTCTGAAGCACTAGTAGAAGTTCATTTATTTAGAATCTATTGGAGGCCTTCCATAATTTTCCCATATGGGCCTACTTGCACACAGCAATCAAATTCCTGAAATTTTTGCCAGATTATGAATATTTCCTTCCAAAAACAGTTTCTGAAATACTTTCAGGCCATTGTTGACCTAGATAATACCCAATAAATAAATAAATAATTGCCCATAATTAATTTGCACTTGTCCCTTATTTTTTTGTATTCTTAGTCCCTGAAGCAAGACCTTAAGCTATTCTACTGCTTTATGTTGTACAATTGTGCAAATTAAGTACCCGGGACTATATGCCACCTTTTCTAAATAATCCACTTATTGGCCCTTCTCTAGTAACTGGTAGGTGAATTTAGATGTAAGCATACGGAATTAAGGTTGTGCTGGATGCCAGATACATACTATGGAGTGAAGTCTAATAAAGAGGAGTCTTTGCCAAAGGCAGTCAAGTCCTTCACCTTATTCTCTCCTTTCCTAAGTTAACAAAGGGGAAGGGGAAGTCCTTCGCCTTAAATTCCTGTCTCCTGCTATTCTCTGCCCTTGTCTGTACTGTTTTTTTGTTTTGTTTTGTTCTTTCTCTGACCTCTGTAGCTCTCTCTTGGTAATTCATACACTGACAAAGACCACTACTTTTTGCTTTTGGATGCTTGCACATTGTTAGGACATTTTTCAGGGTGAATGCTTGAATAATTCCATGGAAAAGATATAAAGTCAGATTTACTAATGTGCCTTTATGATATAAGAATAAATATTTCTAATTCAAAGTTTGGCTTATTGGTAGAAACATCATATAATAAGTCAATCCATAGGTATTTATTTAAAAGCTTGCTGTGTGCTAAACACTGGGGATACAAAGAAAGGCAAAAACTTTCCTCAAGAAGCATACGTTGCAAAGAGGGAGATGATATGTACATAGCTAGGGCAGCTAGGTAGCACAGTGGATAGAGTAGCAGGCTTGCGCTCGTTCCTGAGTTTGAATCTGACCTCAGACACTTACTAGTTGTATTACCCTGGGTAAGTCACTTAACCCTGTTTGCCTCAGTATTCTCATCTGTAAAAAAAATGAGCTGGAGAAGGAAATGGCGAACTACTCTAGTATTTTGTCAAGAAAACCCCAAATAAGGTCATAAAGAGTTGGACACCATTGAAAAATAGCTGAACAACAACAGCATTTACAAGATAATGCAGAATACATGAAAAGTATTAGGGAGTGTAAGGCACTAGCAAATGAGGGTTGGGGGGCAGGGTATAGGGAAGGCATCTAGCAGAATGTAAGACTTGGACTGAGTTTTGACAGAAGCCAGGGAAACCAAAAGGAAGAGGTAAAAGAGTGGTAAAGAGGTAGTATTCCAGGCATAGGGACACCCAGAACAAAACAAAGACAAGAGGTTGAATGTCATCTTATAGAAATTGCAAGTAGACCAATAGCTATATTGTAGGGTTTATGGAGGGGAGTAAAGTGTATGGCAAACTAGGAAGGGTCCAGGTTATGAAGAGTTGTGAATGCTAAAATAGAGAAGTTTATATCTGATCCTGAAAGAATAGGGAGGCACTAGACCTTCTTGAGCAAAGGAGTGACCAAGTCAGACCTATACTTTAGAAAAATCACTTAGGCAAACTCAGTGGAGGACAGACTATAATGAAAAGAGACTTCAGACTTGGCTACCTGCTGCCTTCTAATCCAGGAGAGAGCTGGTGAGGGCCTGAATTCTGGTTGTACATGTGTTATTAGAGAGAATGGGGATATAAGTGCAAGGATGGGTCTTTCTTAGGTGTGTATTACCCCCTCTGAGCTCAGTGTCCTAACTTACATTCTCATTGTCAGTCTGGAGTCCTCAGAGGTAGAGGGCAAAGATTACTGCTTCCCTCAGGAATCTAGAAGTAACTCTGAGGGGCTGGAGTTTTTAACACTGTCACTCCTGTGTTTCTACTGATGTTCTTCCAATTATTAATGAACCCATTGACCTTTGTTAGGTTTTACAAAAGGTATTTACTGAGAAGATATAGCAGTAACAGTAGTTTTAAAGTATCACTAATGTGTACACCCTCCCCTTGAACACACAGGGACCCTTTGGAAAGTGTGTTAAAACTTAAAAGTACCTGTTTAGGGAACATATATGGCCACGGACTGACTCCTGGATTCTGGCTCCAGGAGTCTTTTTCTCCCTTTGTGGCGTTCTCATGAAGTTCCCGTTAGGTGTATCTTTCTAGGATTGGTGCCTTTCTGTAGCTAATACTTCTCTCCATCAGGAGAAGTCATGATCTCTGAGGTTGCCACCATCATCAGTATCTGCTTTCTGCCTCCATCTGGAGGTACTTCCTCTGTCATTGGCCTCTGCCACTTCTGGTGGACTCTTATACTAACTGTGGTTGCCAGTTTATCTTCTGATGGAAATCTGAAATTGACACAATTGCTTGGACGCTTCCTTCTCAGGATACTCATTCGCCTAATTATCAGGAAAGAAGAAGCAACAGAAGAATCAGGCACCATGTGCCCAAGAACACTTGACAACCAGGTAGAGAATAGGATATTTGCTTTCCCCCCAAAGGACCTTAAACAGCAGAACTACTTTAGTAATACCAAGTAAGAGACTGAAATATTGACTGATCATCCCTTTTGTTTGGAAACTAAGCCACATCCGAGGCATCAGTTCTTTTGGCTCCTCAGTCAATAGGTAAATATTCTGTCATCACTACACCATAGCAGCATCTCAGTCGTGCCTATCTGGAAGTAGGCTCCCTCAAAACTTTCCACTCAGTCACTTCGGCTGGAACCAGGCAAGGAAGTATCTCTGCATCCTTTAAGGACTCAGCCTTCATTAGCCGGTCCTCCCATTACGTGTGTATGTATTGACTTCATTTGTATTATTGGGGTAGATAGTTCTGCTTTGCAAATGGTGCTTTGAGTGAAGAACATAGCAATATAGCGATGAGAACGGAGCTACATTGTCAAGTATCATTGCATCCTTCTTAGTATAGAGATTTCAACTCATGGGAGTAAGAATTTGCTCCATGACAATGGCATAACGAATTGGATTGAGGGTACCATGAATGGAGTTTGACTATAACCAATACTGTTTTACCTTCTTTCTTTCTTCCTTAATGCAACAGAAAAGGGAATGTAAAATTCTACTTGTGAAAGTAGTTATTATAGTAAATGAAGATGAAGTATTGATTTCATCTCTTCATAATTTTTGAATTCTTATGTCTGTTCATTTTTCAAAATTTGATTTCATAGAAGGATATGATCTTCAAATTCAGCTATGCAAAATATGATGTCAGTATTTAGGAGCTATAGACTGAGTTGTTTTTTTAGGACCCTAATCCCTGACATGTATTCAGTAATCATAATAGAGTTTATATGCTTATAACATTTTAATTTTTATAAATTTCTCCTTATTTAATAAAACTCTTTGCATGAGTCAGCTATTAACCATCACCACCTCTTCATAGTGCTTTTCAAAGAGTCTTATAAACCTTAACTATTGTGATTTAATTATCTTAATTTTTGTACTACATATCTAGCAAAGATTTTAGATACAGCTTTAAAAGATATTAAAATTTCTTGATTTGTTTTTAACTTTTAACTTTTTTAAAATGCCCCATGAGGATACTTTTTAAACCTGTAAGAGAATGCTGATAATTTTAGAGACAGATTACTCTATGTAGCAATATAGGTGTCAAGATCTTTTTGCAATTAAAACCATAAATTTGTTAAAACAATACTTAGAAAAGTTTGAGCAGATTAGCACGTGTTGAAGTTTTAAACTAAAATGCAATGATAATTTTTATTAAAAGAAGGCTTCAACTCTTTAAAATATAGTGATAATCACTGAATTTTTATCTTGGAAGACTCATTTATTTGGCACTAATATAATAATCTTATAAAATATGTCCCATCTTTAACTCATAATGATTGTATGACCTTGGGTAAATCACTTAACCCCTCAGTGTTCTAGGAAACTCTGAGACTCTTAAGTTGTAGAGAAGGTACTGGCCTGCCTTGAGAGATGGAGTTTTTTCATCTGAAAATTCCTTACGTCAGTGAAATCACAGATGTAATCCTCTCCCTAATGCAATAACTTTAGCATTCCTTTTTATATGAGATTTCTGGTCTGGAATTGTTTGGGGAAGGTGAGACTTTTGGGGGCAGAGGTGGTTATGGGAGTTTTTTGGTTGTTTTTGTAATGTATTTTATTTTATTCTCGAATAGAAGAAAAAAATACCCAGCCAACAAATAAAATATTTTCAATTCTAAGTTACATTAAAGGAGTTTTTAAAAGGTATTCTTTCCCCTTAAAATTTAAAAAAGATTTAGTTTTGTCTAGTTTTCAAATCGTATTTTGAAAATTTACATTGCAAAGTGATTCAATCATATGTGACTCAAGTCTCACAGATGACAATTTTCAGTTTCTTGGCAGTACAGAAGTGGAACAGCCCAAAGGTACCGAAGTCGTGAGAGATGCGGTTAGAAAATTGAAGGTAGGGAACTCAATTCAACATGGAGGGCATAAAGCAGGTATTTTCACATATGAAGACTTTGTTTGATGGGTAGAAATTCATTGCATGACAAATGTTGGGGCATTTGCAGCTTTAACTCATTAAAAGACAGGCCATCATTGTACAGATATCACCAGACATCCTCGTTACTCCTCCAAATGCTCAAGGAAGCTTCTTGAGGTATTTGTGTGGGAAGATAAGCATACAAATGTCATTCATTATGTCCATAGGTAAGACTAAATGAAATACCTTGCCTTTGTTTTTAGTCAGTTATGATTTTAATAAAATCATTTAAACTTTGAGATTTTATAAATATCTATGAAGGTAGTCCTTGCCATTATTGTTCATGGACAGAAGGGATGCTAACCCAACCCCCTTGACAGGAGCCTCGTGACCAAACTAGGCATCTACCATTGAGAGAGGAGAGCAATTCACTAACATTGTGCAGAGTCAGGGGGTGGGGAACCTGCACACACAGGCCCCCACACGCCTCAGTGTTCTTCTAGAAGGATTGTATATTTCATGAATTGTTAGATTATTCACCAAAGCCCTAGAAGGAAGTACATTTTAAAGTACTATTTTGGAAGAAAGGCAAATCCCAACTATCTTAGTTGTTAAGCATAGGAAGGTCTGGCAAGCTATCTGTACAGTCATTAGGAACTGTTCAGTTTACAGTTCCCTGATGCTAAAACTGCAGAGTTACACAGCAGAGCTGGCAACTTAATAGGAAACCCCACCCACCCTTTTTTGGCAGGATTTCCCCCCAGAAATTTTTTTACATAATATACTGCACTCAGGATACTTCTTCAAACAGTACCCCACCTCAAAAAAATTAAAGCTCACTGGGATCTTTTTAATTTGAAAAGCCCTTCCCTTCTTCAGAATGTTTCTTTCCAAAGATTTTATGTCTTTTTAAAAGACAAAAAGACATTTTTCTCATGCACACTTTGGGGGTTGGGGTTTGGTGGGGTAGGGTGTATTATTTGTGAATTGTTTCAGTTAGCTTGACCAGTTTTTAGAAATTCTCTTGCAAACCCACTTCAAACTCCTCAAGGAATAAAACCATTTCATTATATTTAGTTTGGCATTAAAAAATACTCAATTGAGCTAGCTTCCATTGGAAAAAAAATAATTGGAAAGGGGCTGTCTTAAGGGTTCACTGTTAGTGGTAAATATTTATTTTATATTGAAGCTATCAGATCGGAGCTGTCTAGTATTTGAAGTGGAGAAAGAAGTAGAATTGTTTTTATTCAGAGACAATATTATTTGTAGGTCTATAATTTCCCAAAAGGATTTGTTCTGTGAAGTTTGGATTCAGTCAAAGGGCTGCACTTGAGGACCTAGAGGGCCTCATGTGGCCTCGAGGCCACAGGTTCCCCATCCCTGGGCTAACTTCTTGAGTATTAGGTAGGGTGGTTTTTTGCCTGCTTGGATAGAAATAAGAGACCACTTCATCCCAGTCCATAATATTGTTCCTAAAGCTAGAGAAAGTTCTGATCTTAGTGTGACCAAACATTTTCAGGCATATGGAGATGGTTTAACTTTGCAGTGGCTTGTCAGGGATTTTAAGGGCACAGTATATATGCCTGCATAAAAATTTCAGAAGACATAGGGATGCAACTCAGCTCTCCTATTTACAACTAATATGACCTTGAACAAGTCACTCTGTCTCTTTACTTTCTTCACATGTGAAATCAGAGAATATAAATAGATAGATCATTTCTAAAGTTCCTTCTAACTCTAAATCCTATAATCTATGACTTATAGATGAGAATCATAAAGTTTAATGGAGAATTCACAAACTTAGAAGAAATGATCAGTGAAATAATTTTCATTCATTGACCCTGTTTAAAATTGTATATTCCCTGTCTAGTTTTCAACATGCAGCAGGTTTTGTAATTCAAACTTGCTTCGGTTAGAATTTATTACAAGTATGTATGATAGTGATTTTATAAGTTTTTGTTAACATTTTAATCAGTAAACAAACATTTTTAAAAGGATTCAAAGAAAACAAGTAACTTCTAAGTAATGTTATGGAAGTCAAATGGTTTATAAGGATTTATATGTTTTACAAATTTTTCTTACTAAAAATAGATTTAACATGAAATAAAAAACCGTAAAATACAGCAAAATGTGGATATATAGTTTTTTAATATTCCTAATTTAATTATTAATTAATTAGTTATTATTTATTATAATTATTAATTAATAATTAAATATCAATTAATATTCCTAATAAGTAATTTTTTCTTTCTTCAAATGTAATTATGGACAAATTTTGACTAATAATCTGCCACCTATTAAAAAACGTGTTTGTCTTTAGCATAGTACAATTTCAGTTAAGTTAATTTGGTATCAGGCGCTCCCAACTAAAGAGCACCAAGAATTGTGTATATTTTTAAAGGATTCCTATTGTCTTTGCATACCCTGTAACCCACCCTCCTCATTCCTTTGGCTTGTTGCAAGAAGGTTGCTACTATTTCCAGCAGGTGGCGCCAATGCTCCATTGCAAAAGTAAGGCGCTCTTAGTGCAATGATGTGCTATTTACACCTCCCCCATTTCAGTTTCCTGCCCATTCTTTTGGCATATGCATTCTGCTCTGAGTGGGTGTGTGTACTTACATCTGCCAAAGTTTAGGAGTTTGACATCCATCATTTTGTCATGGCTCCAACTGCTTGTACTTTATTTGCTCCACAAAGTCACCCCATAGCTTTACTCACTCGCTGCTATGTCATTGTGTTGGATTTCTGGATTAAATGAATAACAGCATAGTCAAACTCACAAAGAGCCAGGGACTAAAAATATTTGAGACATAAAATGTTTTGTAGTGAATTGTTAGCATCGTTAATATGTAATGTGATTCAGACTTTTAAAGATGCTCAGCAGCCTGTTTCTTGATGTCTTTTATGGGCCACCTTTGATGTCTGTTGGATCTTGAGTTAGTGAAAAATCAGACTTTTAGACTATCACGAAAATCTCCTTTGTTTTTCCATTATTCTCCCAGCCCTTTTTCATTTGTATGTTTCTTGGTTGACTTAAAAAAAATCACAGTGGTAAATATATTTTCCTTAAAGCAAGCACATGGATGTTTGCTTTTATATGAGTTTTGATCTACTGTTATAAAAGACTTAAAAATTCTTATCATGTTGAGACAAATTTGTGCATAAATGAAATAAGAATGACTCAAACTTTTATACATTGAAATTATGCCATTGGTGCTTTAATATGACCTCCTGAATTTAGTTCCTTGTTTAAATTTACTTTTTTTACTTTGAAATTTAGGATCTTGGGATCTTAATTAAACTTTTAGGGGTTGTCTAGTCTAACACTTTTAATTTAAAAACATGGAAAGCCTGGGAGTTTAAATGACTTCCTGAAAATCACAAAGGTATTAAGTACTGAATATAGATTTGAACCCAGATCTTTTGACTACACCTGTAGAGTATGTATAGTACTTTCACCATATGACATTTAATTTCATAATATATTATAGAAAAGTATTTTAAAGGCTCTCTATTTAGGGGGTATGCACACCCTTGTGTAGTACATATATTTTGGGTACGAGGATTCAATGCTCCCTAATTTTGGGGGGGTATAACTGGATAGAAGATACTCAAATCTCTACAGATAAAGAAACTGAGACAAAGCAATGGGAATTTATGCAATAAAACTAATAATTCACACAAATTCACAAGATGTAAGCTCTGGTGCTCAAAGAAACCTCAGGAGCCATCTTTGCCAACTCCCTAAATTAAAACTGAGGCCTAGTGGGATTAACTTGCCAAAGCCTACACACGAACTCTTCAAAGTTTCCAAAGCAATTTAGTAAATTATCTAATAAGATCCAGAATTCTTAACCTTTTCTTTTGTATCATGGACCCTTTCAGCAGTCTGATGAAACCTATGGACCCCTGCTCAAAATAATGTTTCTTGTGTGCATTTATAATTCAAGGAAATGATATTTTTAGGTTAGACATTTGTGAAAATAAAGGTGTTGTTGGGTATTTGGGGTATTTTTTTAAGCCATGCAAGTTCACCAACAGCCTAGAATCTGTCACAGACCTCAGGTTAACAACATTTGAATTAGAACCTTTTCATAACAACCCTAGGAGGTAGGTTCTATTACTTTCCACATTTTTACAGATTAAGAAAGTGAGGGTCAGACAGATTAAATGGCATTCCAGGGTCACAAAGTTAGCAACCTTCTGAGACTGAATTTGAACCTAGGCCTCTTCTATCTCCAAGTTTATCACTTTATGTACCACACCACCGTGTCTCTTTATAGTTATTCTATGGAGACATAGACTTGAGATTAGAATCTGGGTTTACTAACTTCTAGACCAGCATTCCTTGTATTCCTTTGTCTCTCTTTTGGGATTATTTTTAATTAGTGTGGTATTCCTGACCAACTTTTTGTATTTATCATTAGTCTCTTTCGAGTTTGAGATTTTTGTCCAGTTAATAGAATAGGTATATTTCTATATAGCTGGTTAACCAAGGGATTGTTAGGTATTTCTGGAGTTAAACTCTTCCAATGAAAAGAACCACTGAATGTACCCAAGTAATCATGCTGTGAATTAATTGTCTAATAACTCTAGGGTATCCATAGTATTAGGGCAGGTAGGTGGCAAGTGGATAGAGCACTGGGCTTGGAATCAGGAAGACTCGTCTTCATGAGTTCAAATCCAGCCTCACACACTTGCTAGCTGTGTGACCCTGGACAAGTCACTTCACCCTGTCTGCTTCAGTTTCTTTATCTGTAAAATGAGCTGGAGAAGGAATTGGCAAACCACTTCAGTATCTTTGCCAAGAAAACCCCAAAATGAGATCACGGAGAATTGGACTTGACTGAACAACAAAAATTCACAGTATTTTACCCTGATTATCTTTCCCAAAGGACCATTATAATTTTCTGCATAAAATTTTTTCTAATGTAAAGTTAAATTGTAAGAAGATTTCAAGAATTAACACTAATATGGTGAGAGAATAAAGAAAGGTTAAGAGAGAATAGTCAGGATTTTTTTGAGACTGAAATGGAAGCTTATACAGAGAGTCTGCAAGTAGAAAAGATAGAGAGTAGAAGGGAAAATGAAAAACACAAAATATAATGAGCTATAAGGTATAGACAACATTTAGAGAGATTGAAAGAAGATCTTTATGGTTTAAATAGATTGAAAAATGTACTATACTGAAATTTGCAAGTATGTGAAAAATTACAAATGAGTATGCGTATATATACACATGTACACATATATGCATATATACACACAGACATATATATGTACGTATATATATACAGACAGATATATATGTGTATGTAGGTATATATGTATGTATATATGTGGGTATATATACATATACATAAAATGACCATTGTAGAAATAGAAAAAAATATATCTACTGCATCATTTGAAGGGAGCAGTGAAGTATAAAGAAAAAAGAAATGGATTCTAAATCAAGAGATTGGGCTTCTCTTCCTAATTCTGTGACCTTGGGCAAGTTTCTTAAACTTTCTGGGTCTCAGTTTCCTCATCTATAAAATGAAGAGGTTAAAATAGATAGTCTCTGTCAGTGCTGTCAGTGATTCCAATATAAAGCAGAAAACAGTTGGTGAAAACAATTAATTTGTTATTTATTTGTCTACCTGAGCAGAAAGGGGTTGGGGGGGGGGAACCTAAGTAGATAAGCTTAATTGCAGTGACTGTTCTGTAGCCAACTTCTTAGAAATTCCAAAAGGTTACCCAGTGACTTGTCAAAGGTCACTGTAATGCTCAAGGCTTGCAATGTAAAAAGAGCTTCCTGAGTTTTTGCTTATTTTTATTTTCTAGGAAATGGCTCATTAGAATAGCCCTTAAGAGCCATGCTTAAAATATCTGTGAAGTAATCAAGAGTTGATTGACTCAGACACATTGAGGTAATATTACAGAAAATGATTTATTAGGTCAGTATTCTTATATGAAAACCCCAGTTGTCTTCATTGTGCCAACATAGGAAAGGAAAATCATAAAGGAAAAACAAATCAATCTGCATTCTTTGGGAGGGACCTCAGAGCCAATGCAGACAAAAGATCTACATTAGAGTACAAACCAAGGATCTTACAGAAAAATCTCCTTCAAACCAGCTAAATATCTGTGGGTATTTTAGAGGTGCTACATCCAAAAAGTACTTAGGCCAACCAATCATTCATTCTGCTAGATAGTCTGCAGAAAAAAAAAATCAAACCACCCCAAATGGAAAACAAAACAAAACAAAACAAAACAAAACCCAGCAATCCACCCCTTGCTCTCCATTCCGACAATGAGAGATTCCAAAACATAAGTGACAAATCATTCAACCCAACTCTGCCATCTATTAACATGCGTGACTTTGGACCATTTCCTTCACCTCTCTAGGCCTAAATATCCTCAGGTGTAAATATTTTTGGAAGGGGTAAGGAGGGACCATACTAGATGATTTTAAAGATGTTTTTCAGCTCTAAATCCTAGATTCTGTAATTTGTGTGTATTATTACATTATGTAGCACCGAGCAAATCTCATGGGGCACACAATTAGACTGTAACTTAATTCTCAGACTTTTACTATAAAATGTATAATTATATTTCCTCCAAATTAAAGTTATATGAGCAGAGTACAAGAAAGAGTATGACATAGTGACTACAGAATGTCCCTCTCAATGAACTACACTGTAAATTGGGAAAGGGAGAGAAGGGGGTGGAGGGAGGAGAGAGAGAGAGAGAGAGAGAGAGAGAGAGAGAGA